TACAGCTATGGAAATATCCATTATCTCAGAATCTGTATTTAAAAAGTGTTGTATTAATGGATACCAACGTGCAACAAATGAAACGTTGTTAAGTGAACAGAAAGAGTATAAAGTAAATTATAAAAAAACACGTACAAACGTATTGGTTATTTGGAACTACAAGTCACGGCCACAAAGTGTTGATATTGGGTGTGGTAGAATGATATTTCTGACTGTCTTAAATGCAAAACTAACTAACATATAATGAATATATCCGAAAATTAGGAGTCGTTTTAATGAATATATTACTTATGTGTGCCATGTGAATTACTTACTTTAGATTTCATCTAAACTGTTTTATAATTTAAGTCTTTATACATGTGTAGATAATCCGTTTATTTATAGCAATTATAACTTAGAATTATTGGGAATAAAAAAATTTTCTTACCATTAATTCAATGATAATTTACGACTATGTTTACATAAATACATTTTTATTAGGTCAAATATCTCAACTAAATCCCAAAAATATGTTTTACACCAATTCTCACCGATGCAAACGCTATGGCTGTGCTGTTTGTGGTGGAATAAATCCTGCTAATAATAGGCCTGTCGTTCGAGTCACAGAATGGGTTACTGGGACAACCTTAGCAGATGCATTGTTTCACGCCAACGAAACTTATGTGATTGATGATTTTACAGAGCGCCGATGTCGAGCTTTGAGACAGGCTTATGGCTCGAGGTAGTCTAATTAATCATCGAATTACTCGACTTATTTGTTTGTGCAATATTTTTTCTCTTGCACAATTGAAGTTTATTTGTTTAAAAATATATCATTTTTTATAATCAATGTATTTTATAAAACTTCAGATTCTCAGAAAATTGTAAGCCTACTTGATAGAAATTCTGAGCTAAAGGAAGAAAAAATAAAGGTGATATACGAGGGATAGTGCAAGGTCGGGCACGTCTGGTTTTGTTGATGAGCCTGATTTTGGTTTTTGGTCTTAATGCGAGAGAGAAACAGTGAGCTAAAAAGACAGAGAATTGACTATCATTAGA